TTATTAACTAGCTAAACATCTGAGCACGATTAAATATGGTAGAAAATGGAAAATGATAACACATATCAAAGGAACTCTATGCATCATCAATGCGGCGGTATGGGCAGCAAGTGAGAATTTGGAATAAAAGCGGGAAAGATGAAAGGAAGTTACTTTCACAGGTTACTCATTATTTCACTAAAGTTTAGTGAAGTTGAATTTTTTACATAATCTGCATACTAACACTTAGATTATTTCCTAAACTTGTGCTGTCTACAGCAATGATAATAAATAATATCAATAGTCTACCTGAATTGAATGCTACCTGTAATGTATGCTATAAGCAAGCCAAATATTATCAGTTGAATTTGCATTGCTACTGGATTGCATTTTAGTGCTGTCTAATTACTTCCTTCGACTAAAATGCATATGCGTGTCTGGAGGTGTCTGGTAGAAGAGTGGCTCTCAACGGGTGGCAAGCAACCGAGGAACATTTGAATGGCACCACTGGCACCACTGGCACAGGCAGCATCAATAGCAATAACAACAACAACAATAACTTCGTCTTTCCTATTCTCTACTTGAATGATATCTTTCGGATAACGGTCATTTGCAGTTGGATTATTAAATTAATATTATTGTCATAACAACAACAATAGAAAACACAAATTTTATTCTATAAATTTTATCTCATAGATTTTACAAATAATCTGTAAATTTTATTGTCTTTATCAGTTCATTATTATTATTATTATTATTATTATTATTATTATTATTATTATTATTATTATTATTATTATTATTATTATTATTATTATTATTATTATTATTATTATTATTATTATTATTATTATTATTATTATTATTATTATTATAATTATTATTATTTAATAATCTACAGTTTTCTCAGGAATATATTGGTATTTTTTTTTTTGTGTAATTCTGCTCGAATACAATGTACCAATTTATGCTTATTGTTCGATACTTGTTTTTTTTTTTGTTCTTTTTTGAATTTAGAAATTTTCTCTCTTTACACTTCGGTTTTATATCAAACCACTTTTGTTCTTGATCTACCAATGATAATGATAGAGTTTGCAAAATAATTTTATTCTGGAATATTCCAGTTTCGGTAAAACGCCTAAATCTTATATGATAATTAAAATTTTGGTTTAAAAATTAATTACTACATTAAACATTAAAGTTATCGCTATACAAATCTGTACGAATGGATAATTTAAGAATTAAAAGTTTCAGCATTTTTGTTTACACAATGAAATTTGCAACATTTTAATGATTCAAACCATTTTTCTCTTTTGAACTTGGCAAAGCTTGTTGTCATTTTTCAAAATAAAATAAATGACTGTTGGTTATATCTATCCCACTTGTTGCTGTTATATGGATGGCAAAATAAGCGGTACGGATTGGTACCACAAACAACAGTGAAAGAGGACGAAACTGGTCGATTTTTTGATTATTATTTGAAAAAAGAACTGATTGAGATTTATGTATTAATTTATATATTACAGTAGATTATCTTTATTTCATTTCTTCAAATAAAAGACAAAAAAAAAAAAATGATATTTTAATGAGGTAGAAGCATTTATCAGGTACATATTAAGGTAAACTTACACTTCAATAATGGATATCTTATCTAAAATTGTAAACTACACATGATTATTTATAATAATTTTCCGCTTATTTATTTATTATTAGTGTTGTTATCATTATTATTTATTACTATTGACTGTTATTATTATTATTATTATTTGTTATTATTACTATTATTATTTATTATTACCATTATTATTATTATTTATTATTACTATTATTATTATTTGTTATTACTATTATTGTTTATTATTATTACCATTATTATTACTATTACTATTAATAATAATAATAATAATATTATTATTATTATTACTGATCAAAAAATTAATAGAAATTGGCTTTCTTATATGAAATTGTAAAGCAAATTCCCTAATTTGCTGAACATCTTAAACTCACTCTTTATAGTTATGTGAATGGGGAAGAAAGGCTTTCTTGCAGATGACAATAGTTTTAAAAAATTTAATATAGCTAATATCAAAATTAGAAAATATGTCAATTGATGAAATTTAAATATTTGATATGTTCATTGTCACAGAATATCAATTATTCAATTTAATCAAATTATATTTCATTGCTTGTAATAGCAATTTCAGTTTTGAAAAAATATAAACATTCAGTACTAAGATAATTTTTACGATAAAGTATTAACTAGTACAATAAATTTTAGTATAAAAATGTTTGAAAACTAAATTATACCAAAATTAATCATTTCATAGTTTTCAATAAGAATTCATGAAATCATCCAAAAATTAAGTATATTTAGTATTATTCGTTTGATAGCAGAATTTTGTCATAGAAAAAAAAAATGCTATAGCAAAGATTATGTTTTGAAAAAAAAAAAGAAAAAGACTATCAATCTTAATCTGACATGCATTTATCAGAACAGTGAACAGTTCACAGTCCTTGTCACAATGTGTAGGTGGACAACAACATTGGTCATTTTTGTTAACAAATGTAATTTTTGATCTTCTACTTATTTCATTTAAAAAAATAAATTTAAACTTCAGTGCTTTTAGATCTAACGAAATTGGTAGTTTTTTTTTTTTTTTTCATCCTTTTCATAAATTTTTGTTATTATTAGAATAAAATATTATATATTCATCAATATTAAATTTTTTCAGTTTTTTAAAATTTTAATGTCATGAATTTTTCTTTTTTCCTTTGTGCTAGAGATATAACAGAGAGAGAGGGAGAGAGTGGTACCACAAATTTATCCAGATATTATTCCGGGATAAAATTTTGGTATTGTGCATACCCAAAAGTAGGATCCATGAAAATTATAAAAACGTGGAGAGTAAATATGAGAGAAGATGGGAATAATAAAACCGGGACATTGTGCCAGGCTGAAACAGCTTCGTACTACTACTACTACTACTACGGGTAGATGGATACAGGACAGTGCCAAACACCGATACGGGAAGGACCTCATTCTTTCCTGTTGTCTCACTGCTCCCTCTGCACCGGGAGGTGACAAAAGAGAGACGTATAGACGAGTGCTTTAGAGGGTGGGTGGTAGTGGTAGTTGAACTAAACTGAACAAAATTGAACTGAACGAACGGAACTAGGGCGAGCTTCCTTGTCGTGCTAGGTACTCCCAGCCTGTCTCGTCTTCATTTTGCACTACTCACCCGCTCAACCATTGACACTCATAAACCAACCACACCAATGATCAACCGACCGGTCAGCGACCGTTAGGCTGGTGCCACTGGCACCATTTCAGGCATAGTTCTCATTATTAATGCTGAATGCTTTAAAGGAACGAAGAATAAAGTCTCACTCACTCTCTCTCTCTCTCTCTCTCTCCTTAACCTTTCTTGGACTCAACTCGACCCTTTCTTCATTTTTTTTCCTGCAACCATTAGGTACCTTTCTCATCCTGTAACCATGGATTGTCACCAAATCCTCTCTTTCTATTTGCATATTTTGTCAACATTGCATCGAATACACACACCGTATCATTACGATGTGAACAATTGTTAATAGTTAGCATTATTACTAATCGTTGAATATGTATTATAGTATTAGACAGTTCTTTAACTTTTTTAATTTTAAATTTCTCTAGTTTAAAATTTTAGATTTTTATTTCAAATATTTATTGAAATTCTAACAATAAAGGGAAACGAACGTCACAACCGAATAATAAGAGAAATTGTAGATCAGTGCATTTTATCATTCATTCATTTACTCTTCTGAGATTTTACTTACGATTAACTGAGCATTTTACATGTTCTAAAATTTGATAGTATTAAATTTTTCATGCTATTGAATATTCTGGAATTAATTTTTAAATTTGTTATGATATTCAGTTATGATTCATAAATTTTAAAACATTTAAACTGGTCTTTCAGAGGCAATGAAAATTTTGAGGATTTAAAGTTGGATAGAATTCAGTAAAGATTAAAGAATTTGCAGTAATTTTTATGAGTATGAATAGTCTAAACCTTATGCTGCAAGCTTTTATTCATGCAAGTATACGTCCGCATTAATACGTTTTGAACGTGAGCTTAAATTTTAAAACGTTATTTTAAATTATTTAAATTTCTACTTTAATATTCCATTTTTTCGCTTTGAATTACCATTGAACATTTTTAAATGATTACTGATTTATTCCCCTAAGCATGAAAAACATTGAATGTTTGATTTTTTTTTTTTTAATTAAACAATTTTATCGAAAGACGCTGAGGCATAACAATTTAAACAACAACCGCTTTAATTTTCCTAATAAGTTAAAAAAAAAAAAATTAAAAAGAGATATTGGTTCCTTTAATCATTATCCTAAATGATCTGAAAATATATATTACTTCTTTTAATTTCGAGATTTTTTATAAGCAATTTTAATATTGGATAAAACTGATTTCCTACCTAAATATGTAAAATTTAAAAAAAATTAGAATTGATTTTGAAGGTTTTTAGGTTTTTAAAAATTTGCCTTTTTTTTCTCTCTCTCTCTCTCTCTCTCTTTAGCCTAGTATAGCCTTTCCTTGTGCAAACTTTTGCTTTCTTTTCAACTTTTCTTTCCAGTTTAAGTTTATCAAGTAAACAATAAACTTGCATTATCATTGTTTGCTAACAATTGAAAAATTTTTCGATTCAATTTTACATAATAATCTTTTGTTTAAGGTATTTTTTTTTTCAGTCACGACTTACTGCTCTATAAATTGATTTTTTTTCTTTTGAAAAGTTAAAATTTTCATCAAATGAAAGTATTTTCAGGAGTTCTTCCTTCCAAGTATTATTACTATTTAAATCGTATCTAAAGCATCGCATATTTCATATTGTTTTTAAATAATTTTTTTTTTTTTCTAGTAATACATCAAAGATAGTAGTGGTAAGCAGTGAGTGTACATCACTATATTCTGTCAATTTGTTCATATATTTTGATGTCACATTGCTAAAAATTCAAATCCTTTATGTTGCACCAACATCAATCTGCGCAACAACCATCAGCAAATCAATCTGCGCTTCAATCTTCTAAATTAGTTCGGCGGAAACGCTTACAGGTATGACATATTATTCCTTTACAGTGCATTTTATTCTTCATTAATTTCTTCACTAAATTCTTCATTAAAATCTAAATTCATTAATCTACTTTCATTTGCAGTACAAATTTAGATTAGTGATAGTTTAAATTAATGATAATTTAGTTGGTGGGAAGATTAAAAATATTAATGAGAAAAGTAAAACCTAATTGTAGTAAATAAAATAAATATAACTTCTTCATTGCTTTATATAATTTCTATCATTTTGTTTTATTCAAAATTTTGATCAATTTTAAATGTAGTTAAGAGTATAATTCTAATAAAATTTGTTTTATCAATGAATTTTTATAATATAAGTTTACGAAGAAGTTTCAAAGTCTTATATTTCCATACTGAGAGGTCAAAAGTACAACCGAATTCATACAACAGCAGTTCAGTGACCTTGATGAAGTGTTACTGCGAAATAAAAATTTAGTCAAATAAACATTGCTTAGACAAAATACCTGTTTAAATTTAAGATTCAAGATTATTATTACAAAAAATCACAATTTGAAACGGTTTGAACTGATTGATTAACACAACATAATTTTGATAGCATTCTATGCTGATATTCTCAGTAATTACGGGTAATTTGCCCTATTTTTTTTCTCCCATAAATGCAAATTATTATTTTCTTATTTTGCTTCCCAAAAGATGCAAGGCCACAAGCTTAAAGCTTTTCTTAATTTTCTATTCCATAGCCTTGTGTTCTTGGCTTTATAATTATCCATTATCACATCATAAAAAAAAATTGCAAAATTTCCTAGAACAAAGTGTCATCTCCAAAATAACATTTAATATATTTGACACTCAAAAGTAAATAAAACAACAACGAAAGTAATTTCGCATTTTTTTTTTTTTTTGAAATAATTCACTTTAATTAGTTACATTTTGTACCATTAATTAAAGGATCCCATTTTTATGATTCGGAAAATTTCTTTTTTTTTCTTTCAATAATAATTTTATTTTGCAGCATTACATCCGCCAAATTAAACGCTTAATTGCGGAAAGAATACCACCGGTTGGTCCAGAAAAAAAACTAGGAACTATCGATGTACTCGACAAAGCCATCGAATTGGTTGGTACCTTTTTTTTCGATCAATTTTGTGACCTGTCACTTCAGTTTGTTGATTTTTATTGATACAAATTCACATCCGGTCAATTTCATTTTCTTATTCTCTAAATACTTTCAAATCTTATCAATTTCTTCTGATTCAATTTTTAGTTATTTTGCCATTTAAATTTATTTCCATAATTTATTTATCAACATATAATCCAGGCTAACTTTTCTGATTTTTTCGCTCAATTATGATTTTCTGTTACATTTTTATTTAATATACTATCTATTATTTTTTTTTTTAGTTTTTTTAAGATTTTATTTTTTTTAATTTTTAAAAATCTATCTATTTTCAATGTTGAAAGAATCATTTAAAATGACTGATCCATTTTATTCACTTGTTGCACAGCTATTTACAAGATAACCCAATGTTTTTAAAATCATAACTCATGCTATGATTTAAATTTATACTTTTCCTCGATAGTATTTTAAAACTTTTTTACCATTAAAACAATCAAAATAATAATTAACAGTTGTTTAACTGTCATAAGAATACTTTTAATTAATGTAATTAGCAACATACTTTATACTGTAGCATGCAAATACTATCATACCTTTCTTCTTTTTTTTTTTAAAAAAATTTCTTTTAAGTTACGAACGACGCCGCTATATGCTGAAATTACTAATCCTGGCCTTAGTCCACCTCATTCTTGGCCTGATTCACCGCTCGATAGTATAACACATATTAGCGATGATACCTGGGCACCAAACGTTGATTTTACTCGCCGACATATTTTTTCTGCAAATATCAATCTACCAGATGGTCGAATTACTGATTTTCAGAAAGTAACTTCAAAGGAAATTAGCAACATTGATGACGTATGTCTGTGTATATTTTAAATAATATTTTTAATGCTATTTTTATAGGATTTTTTAAATTTAATCTCATATTTCAATGTTTTTTTTTTCCTATTGTTTTTTCCAGTTTGATTAGATGCATACAATCAAAAAAAAGTAACTAACAAAAATATTTTAATGAGCTTTGAAATATTCAATTTTGTATCAATCAAATACTTAAGCAGTGATTGGAAGAAAAAATAAATAATATAAAATATTTGATTGTAATTATTTAAATTAATTGTAAATTCTAGGGCTTACATTGTGGATCATCTTTTCTGGATTTGTTAGCAGTTTATGGGCGACAAGCATTACTTGCTGGTGCATATAATGGTTCTATCGAGAAAAAGAAAATTCTTACACGTCTTATCGGCGGGTAATTTAATCTTTTCTTTCTTTTCAATTTTTATTTTGTTAAAAAATCCAATGTCTCATTGTTTTTTTTTTTTTGTTTTCGATGATATAATGATTTCAGGACACAATGAGATAATAACTTTTTCTTTTTTTTTTTTTACATAATAAATTATATTTTTTAAATATTTGGACAAATTTAAAAGTTCGGAGATTATTTTGCCATATTCCTTTGCATAAGTTTAAATCTATTCAGTCCTGAAAATTCATAATAATTTATTCTTCCAAGTAAATAATAAATCATTGTAATAGTGTTTACATCGTTACATCTTTTTTTTTAAAAAAAAAGTAGATGAATTGTATTTTAATTAAGAAACAATATCATGGATTAGAAAAGTACTGAAAGCAATGTAAATAAGTACTGTAAGAATAGTAATGAAAGTATATAATGCTGATAATAATATCACTGATAGGTACATGAAAGCAATTGAAATGTTAAAATTAATATTATAAGTATTGCATTAGTTAAATTAAATGATTTAAAATGGAGTTGATGAAATTTTGGGAAGATTTCAAACTTTAAACACAAAACAGCGATATTAAATGAGAAGATGACAAATGGACGAGAAAAGATAAAAACATGATTTGTTATCAAAAAGAGAGCATTCTTTGAAATTAGATTATTAAACATTTAAAAAAAAAGTGAATTGGTTTTGAATAATAGTGTACCTTTTGAAGTTTCAAAAATTTTGAAAAATAAATGTTCAATTGAGATAGTTATACTTGTAATATTGCTACGCAGTTATTGCAAGAAGATACTTATAAACTGATAGGGATGATAATGATAAAATTAGAATGCAGTTGGGATGATAAGGACTACAAATGATATTCGTATTTGTGTAGTGAAAAAGAAAGTACATCAAACGAAAATCAGATCACACACCTGGTTCTACCAGTATCCGACGATCACCAACTATCACTTCCAATCATCCGTTATCACAATTCTTCCGTTCCCTGACACTCCGTCTTCCCTACATTATACGGATATCTAATTTAGTGACAAGTACTGTCCGTCATTGTGAATCCGGCCTGTAAATGACGAAATAGTATTGAAAATTAAATTGAAAACTTTTCATGCAATTTAGATTTCTTCTCGAAGAAGTCAAAATAAAATTTAAATTTGATTAAGAGACAGATTAATTTTATGAGCTAACTAAAATGATCGAATTGATGATATAAAAGAACTGACATGAAACAATATTGAATAATTCCTTTTTGTAAGTGAAAAAGTTAAACAATTTTGGGAAGTGTAAGAATTAAGGTTAAAATTTTTACACATAAGAAGTTACTAATATTATACTCTGCCGTTAATGTGATGAATTAATAGAGAAGGAAGAAAATATATGCTAAAAGAAGAGAAAAGTCACATATTTGTAAACATAAACTTTAACATTGTACCTTATTTATAATCCAATAAATTGAATTTGCATCATTAAATGAAAACTATAAGTAAAATTTTAGCAATGGAGCTTTTGAATTGCTATGTGAATATAAGCGTTCCGATCATGGAAGTATCGTATCAACTCATATTCATGCTCTAGAATTAGAAAGCGCATTTGGTCCATCAAAAACATTGAGTACATTTGTATTCTCGACCCGTCATACAAGTTCATGCTCACTTACTTACCTTGATTCATTGTAAGTGCTTTTTTATTCCTTTTTTTTTTATTCTAAAAATAAAATATATTATAAAATCTATCAAGATTAAAATATCACAAATTCTTCTTTTTATCTAAATGAAAAATGATGATCATTTGCAGAGCAGCCAATTACATTGGTTATTTGCCAGGTGAAGTGATCAATCATTCAATATTACATCTTTTACATCCATATGATATGGCACAAATTAAACAGATACATGCAACTTGTAAGTACAAACTTATGCATTTAACTTACGTTATAATCGATAAAAGATAATTTGAAAGATAATTGAAATAAATTAATGATAGCTTATATTCAGTGAGCACTCAACGAAACGAAATAGTCCGTCAACGTCGTCTAAGATGGATTGCATTTAATGGTAGTATAATTCACACAAATTCGGAATGGTTTGCACTTTGGAATCCGTGGACTCATAAAGTGGATAGTGTAATGGGACGACATACCTTAAATGAGCAACCGATAGGAAATGCGGATGTGTTAGCTGAACCATGTGCGCCACGTATTATTACTCCGTTGGATGAGTTAACAATACGCAATATTGAATCTGAAATTACTGCTATACTGAATAAAGTTAGTTTATTGCAATTTTAAAGTATTATTAAACTTAGTGCTTACTATTTTCCTAGAATAAATCAAAAATTGATTAAAAATAAAAAAATTATCTATACAATACAAGAATTTTTTTTTTTCACCCAATTTTCTTATTATTATACATTTGATTTTTTATTTGGATTTTTTCTCCTAAATTTTACTTGTTAATTTGTTTACTAATTACTGTTAGTATATTCATTGTATTGTAGAGTCAAAATTAAATTGCAATCATATAAACAGGTAACAACCATACAAACAAAACTTATTTTCTAATCATTAGTTTTAGGAACCAAGAATAGTGACAAAAGATGAAAGGTACAAAGTGGCACCAATTGCGCATCAAAAGAACTCAAATTCAGTTGTCTTAAAGTCATCAAGTACACATCTTGGCACTTACATTGATAATCTTATCGAATCATTCGTCGTAAATGCCGGAAATTCCGGAAATAAGGTAATAACCATATCTCATTTGTTCGGCATAATTTATGTAATTTCGTTATTCTTAAAATTAAACAGTAATAAAATTCTTTGAAAAATAAATCACTGCCTCAATTTATATAAACTATTATATTTATTAAAGAATTTGACACCAGTCGTTGTTGATACTTGTCGATCTCCAATTAATCCAACTGATCTTTCCGCAACAAATTCTTGTAACGCTATCCCTTTGACATACAATCAGGTATTATAACTGTATAATTCATTCTTCTCATTTTTATAAGATTAAAAAAAAAATTAGAATCTTTTATTGCACTATTTTATTCATTCTATCATGGTAACTAATAAAGGATTTCTAAAAAAAGCTATCAGAAAAAAAAAGAGAGTGTAATTTGATATGTAAATAAGAAATTTTAAAAATTATAAAATTTCGATTCTAGATTAACTGCCTAGAAAATGTACATCGACTACTGAAAAGTCAACATCATGGAGGAGATATTGCTGTAACATCAACCATCGAATCGACACCAGAAAATGTTTCATCACCAAAATTACCACCATCAGAGGATTCAAAAAGTCCACTTCCTATACCGGAACAAGAGGATGACAATAGGTAAAGAATTTTCTTATTATTAAAGAAAGAAAAAAACCATAATATTTCAACAAAATTCGAATAACATTAATGCATGTGAAATGAATTAGGGTTAGTACCGATACAGTAGCACCAGCTATGCCTCTAACAAGAGAACTTCTGCAACAACATACTCGAAAATGGGAACAAGAATATCGTGATACATGGAAAAAACGACTTAATTTGAAAAGACCCATTCAGGTTTGTGACTGTTTTTTTTTAAGTACCAACAAAAATATATGATAAATTATTATTCAATAAAGTATTCATATTTAAATATTTTGAAAAAGACTTCAACTTCAAATTTAAATTTTTATTTCTTTCTTCTTATTCTACAAAATATTCACTTGTTTTGTTTGTAAAATTTTGCAATCTTATAAAGATGAATGTGATTGCTAAATATAAATATAGCAAACGGAGTTTGTTGTGCCGGTATCATCGAAAATTTTCCGCGAAAGCAATCACAGATCAGCTATAACACTAAATGCACCAGCTACGCTACCTTTATCTCGATCTGATTGTTGGCCAACCATGAACAAAGATGATTATTACAGAAGTCTTGGACCAAATCCTCCTCCACCACCAGGCAAAAATTTTCAAGTAAGTTTCAAATAATTACAAATTTAGTTACTTCCTTAATTTTGCATTCAGAAACATATCGAATTTTGATCAGAAAAAAAAATGCAATCATCATTTTAGTATATTTATTTCATTTCAAGTTGATTGAATTCTCCTTAAGAATTCCACTGATAAAATCCCTTTGATTACATTATACTCTTATTTTGGTGATGTTTTCAGATCACATCAGTGCCATTGCCGCCTCCGTTACCAATTGAGGAACGTCGATCTGCGTTTGTTCCGCTTCCTAGCACTACATTTTCGAACACTTCAAAATTACCTCGTGATATATCACAACCGATCAACTTATCATTGACAGGAAGTGTGCAGCAAGCACATTCGGCAGTAGGAATAACAACCGTAACATCCGGTTCTGTCGAACGGCATTTTCCAACACAACAACCACAACAACAGCAATACCGTTCCGTTATAAAAACTGCTTTAGCATCCGCACCACAACATCAACCACAATATCACGAATCGAACAGATTGGTATTACCATCATTAGCAGGAACAGGAACAACACAACGTTATTCCAGTACCGGAAATATGATGGATACAACTCTGGAATGGTATCCAACTACGGAATACAGCAATGGCATTCCTGAAGAAATTGGAGAAACCTGCGCAGCACGATTAATAAATATGGCGCAACGAGCACAGCAGCAGTTAGATCAAAAACGATTTCACTCTCCGCTTACTACTTCACCAGTTAAAGAAGCTACTGATGCATTGATGTTGCTACAGGAAACAACTTCATTTTAATTAAATCTAATTTGGAATTTGCAAAAAATATATTTCGTTTGATAGTTTTACTAAATTTATTACTAATGATCGATTGTTTTTTTTTTTTCTATTCATTGTAACAATCATTTTTAATCAACAAAACTTCTTAAAGAAAATCAGCAACTTTGATGGAAATATGCAGATTTTGAATACTTTGGACTTACCTATCTCAATTTTAATTAGATTTAATTGCCAAAAATTATTTGATAACAAAAAAAAAAATATCTATGCCTGCTTGCTATAAATTTTAAAAGTACAGGAATATATAACAAAGGTTAGGATTCCTTGTTTTTTATTTTTTTCTTTTCTTCTCAGCTTAAACAATTAAAATGCTTAAGCTTAAACTCAAAATATAAAATTAAAAATCAAAAAACAAAACAAAACAAATAATGGCCAAATATCGTAAGCCAGACTAGCTTAGACCAGAGGAAGCATTACATGCTAACTTAACTACTCAATCATTCATGAATTGAGATTTTATCTTTTCATTTCAAATTTACTTACACTTAAAATGCGCGTAATTCTCACACCGACGTCTTTCTGGTTCTGGAACGATTTGTGTGCTTGTTGTCTCTTCCTTTTCTCTTTTTTTTCCCTCTATAATTTAAAATATCGTTCCAGTTTTTCAACTCTTCCTCTTCTTCCTACTCTTTTTTGACATTCTGCTGATTGCTTTATCTTGAAAATTGAAAACTATGAGAAGTAGAAATGTGATTCTCAAGAAATTTAACATTCAGATGTCTGATAGACAGCTCACTTAAGCTTACTTTTGATATGGAACTTAGCTATCGTACAGTAAATTATTTGAACATTCTTATCTAAAAGAAAATTCTTCAAAAATTTAAACTTCATTTTTCTGTTTCTCTCAGTTTTTAATGATTAAAAATTTTTTATAGTTTGTAGTTTCTATTTTGTGTGTGTTGCCTCATTTTTGTTACTGTGATTTTTATGGTTCTCAATCTTTTCTTTTCTCTGATATTGTAAACAAACAACTGAAAGCTAATGAAATGCAAGTGATATCGCCTCAAATTGACTTTATTTTTATGCTGCCAAACTAAGTTCTTTCATATCTCAATGCTGTTTGTTGAATATGCAAAATGATTTGTGAATATTATACTAAACGAACAAGTTTCTTTTTTGGCACTTGAGAAAATCTTTCAAGAAATTACAGCAGATGCAAAGAATATGCACAACTATACTTCAGCATGCTTCTGCCCAATATCTTAAAATATTCATCGAAAATATTCAACATTCATAGCTGAATGTTTCGCTTCGTGCCAGATTTTAGATAATGTCTAAAATATGAGAAATACGTGAGGAATAACAAAGATACTAGTGTCTATTTAATCATCAATAATTATAAATACTATGAAAATTATGAATACAGGAAGTTCATAAAGATAAGAAATAAAACTACGATCCTTAAAAAAGGACTATTAAGATACCAAAATGTAAGAGGATCAAAAAATAAATAAATAAATATATAAATAAAAAACCTTTCCTTGTTTGCTAACAAATTACAAGCTGAAAAAGTGCATAAATCAAAATCAAAAATAAACCCATCAAATTATCTTCTGTATTGTTCCATCATTTTTTGTGGGAGAGAAATGGGAAGTATCTACGAAGAAATAACAAAACAACAAAAGTTGTCGATAATTCTCAATCTCAATTTAAATTGGGAGATATAATGAACTCGGAAAATGGGTTTACGTTTTATGTTAACAAAAAAGGGTTAACTTAGTGGGTTTACATTAACGAAAAAAAAAAAAAAAACGAGAAAATGACTAGATTTAATAACCAAGTAAAATTAAAAAAAAATCAGTGAATAATAGCAAAAATGGAAAGTAAAACACAATCACATCAGTTAATAGTTCACAACTGAGAATTTAACTTTTCTGCATATAAAACATAATGAGATACTTCATAAAGTCACCAAATTATCTCCTTGATGTAACTCGACCACGGCTTTTCATTGATATACCTCTACCGCGTTTTTGTCGCATATTAATAGGTTGCCGTTGAATAGGCTGCTCCGCACTATATGCGTGATTAAAATTCACCAAATGTGAAATGGATTTATCACAAAAAACACATCCCCTATACGTGGTTCTCTCCTCTGGCAAAGGTGACTTATCCTGTAAATGTTACAGTGTTTTCCATAGCTATTGCATAACAGAAACCATTCATAAAAATAGTTTCTGTTACATAATATGCTTTAATAAAAAAATTAATTACCCCTTCAGAACAATATAGTTACAATTCTTAGACCAAATCCCTTTAAAAATGGATACAGAATTTCTTTTTCTTTTGACTTCGATTTTTTTAACAACAAACTTCACTTTTTAACAAATTTTAACAAAAGATTCGATTTTTAACAACAAATCTTGACCGCATGTTATGCATAAGATTACCTTGTATTCAGCGAAAAATAGTTGTGCACCACAATCTTCACACTGCTTGGTAAGAACCTTAACGCGCAATGCACCTTCGAAGAGACCTACAACAGCAGAACATTTGTTGCAAGAAATACGCCATTTTGGTGCAGATTGTGGATCCAGTACCAAAACTCCATGACCAGCCCCACATCGACGTGGACACTGAACCACTCCCAGCGTTCTAGAAATCAGAAGGCATAAATTTTTGTGTACAAAAGAATTTTCGATTTTTACATACAACTTAAACCTAGAAGCTGCAGTAAGGACAATATTATTTGCTGCTTACTAAACATTATGCAGGTGATAGATGGTTGTTCTGAACTTACAGGAACGAATGAGGACACACAGGATTACAACATTCGTGACATCCTGAACCTTTCTTCATTCCCTCAAACGGCGGATTATTATAACAATAAGGACAAAGTACATATGACATCGATAATTTTCCTAAAATACAACGTCTGCTTTAACTTTTGCTTCGTCATTAATTTCTTAACCCAAAAATTTTTCTCTGTTATTCAGCGTTAATCACTCTTCAAATGTTTGCATTCTTTTAAATTCCTGTACTAATAGCCTTAAATAGGCCTTAAAAATGGAATACACATATATGCTAAAATCAATTATTTAAAAAATAATTCAAGTTTTCAAAAAAAAAAAAAAATGTTCACCTCCGGGACCTTGCCAGTAAATCAAATCAAAATCATCCAAAGGGCACTTGTTTTCACCATGAAGTCTCAGTAATCCATCTTTAGCAGAAGGCAATGAATATGTATCCTAAAAGCGTAATAAACAATACCATCTCTTTTATCAAGTCCCGTTAATATAAACCGACATTTTTGCTTAATTACCTGACAATTTGGACAATGAAGGCGCTGTGGTTTGGAAGCGACAAGTTTCATAAAACGTCGACATTTTCCACATCTGCTAAATGGCTTTCCCGAAGCGGCAAGTGAAGTGAATGAATCTGAACAAACATATAAAAGGATATTTCAACTTACATTCCTCAATTTGGGTTAAGAATGCTAAAGGAAGAACACTGACTCTATTAACTGTATTGTATTGTCAATTTTAGACTCATTACTGTTTATTTTCTTTTTCATCTTTAAAAGAAACAATATTCTTTTCTTTTTACCTTCAAAAAGAGAGTCCACGAGACTAATATTTTCTGCAAAATAGATAAATTTAAGGCGGAAATTTTCGAGCACATGATTCTTGACCTACAAATATGCACACAGTAAAAAAATTCAGCAACAAAGTTTTATTAACTTTTTTATTCTAAGACTTTAGTCGAAACACTACGACCATCGCTGCTTCTTTACTACATTTTGAGCGGCACATTTCAATCATTAAAATCTATGCTTAGACGCATTTTTAAATTTTAAGAGTTTTCAGAACAAAAATTCTTTCAAGCAAAACAAATGAACATAATAGTTTTGAAATCAACGAAGTTAATTGATTGAGCTGCTTTGTGGTAGAAAGAAATCAAGAATGACATGAAGCATTCAATAAATGGAACCGTGTAAAGGATCCATCAATCATTAAAACTGACATTCAAGAGTCACTAAATCTTGCAAATTCTCCATGCTACGCACAATTGCTTCAATCTCATAAACTTTTCTTTGGCTGCAAATGATAGCATAAGTCAAACGCTTACAGAGCAGAAATCGGCATATCCTTTAGCAATGAGATTTAACTGACTTTCAACTTCGGACCGCATTGTAGGTAATACTAGTTCCGAATCTATTCTCCAATAGCCATGCACAAGTGCAATGCCTAATTTTGTTGGTTTTAAACGCCTTTTAGATTCAACCTAAGAAATTGTAAGTAATTTGAAATTTGAACTTGAAAGAGATATGAAAATTATCTAGTATATTTGATAAATGCATTTGATAAAACTAACAGTAACATAATTCCGCTGACAAATATTACTAATGTGGACAGGGATAGAAGCATCCGTCCCAATACCATGCTTTTCCATTAACGAGATCAATTCTGATTCAGTGAGGTAATCCGGTGGAGTTGTTGCATACTCACATATTTTTGCATCTCTTAAATCACCCATTTTAATTGGAAATAAAAAAAAAAAATAAAAATTTAATTCTAACTGTACTATAATATTAAACAACATTCTTTTTTTTTCATACAGTGTGAAAAATCAACTTCTCTATTGTGACTTTTGTTATCATAAAAGTCAGATAGAAAGTTCAACTACACCATTAATAAATACATAATATCAAAACTTGAATAAATACTATCAAAATCGAAACTTACTTTAAATTGAGCTTTGAGCCTTTAACTATATTATAATTCTGTGTATCTTCCTCAATTTTCTGCCATACCATAATTTCTGTGTAACCCAAATTGATAACACACTTGCTTTTTGCAATAAATATTTCGTTTGCGATATTGATTCTTGAAAAAATATATCGTTTATGAATATTAAGAAATAGCAGAGCAATAAAAAATTAAGAAGTAATAAACAAAAGAAGATATAAATATCAAATTAAATCTTACTTTATACTCTTGACAAGATATATGCACGGC